AAACGTGCATTATACAAGCTGAAAAGCGTAGCTGACCCAAATCAATCCACGCGGATCCAACGATCAATCTTCTCCACGTCTTTTGCTCAATCTCTCCCCATACAGTCATAATAGGCAAGTTTATCAAAATAACAGGCATCAAATATTCTGTCATGGCACATTACCCCTTCTGTTGTTAACACTTCATTTGCAATACATAACAAAGGGTTGTTAATGTTTCAGAATTTGTCATAATCCCCAAAATAACAAAATTTGCCCCTCGGAAATAACTGATGAATTTGGTTACATGAATGTGTAATACGTCAATTTGGAAAGTACTCAACATGACTAATCATGGACTAATCATTTGGACCCACTCTTCCATACAATCTGTTCTTCCGAGCTTGTATAGGAAGATCGCACATCTAATACTAAATATAGATATCTGTGAATCTTTTTTATACTGGTATTTTCTGTTGGAAGCAGCTTTTATTATTTTCATGCTGTTTATTATTTGCTCTGACACTGCCTGACAACTGCACTCGAGCATTTAATTTAATGCTTTATAATTGCATATGTCCACCGTAAGAATTTAAATATTTTTAGTATGGATTTTATTATAATATACATATATATATGTAAAAAAGGACCAAATAGCTATCTATTTAACCAAATAATGTCACTCTTACTGCACACAAAGACAGATTGCTTAAATCTGCCTCTCTGCGCTCAAAATCATTAATTGTGACTGACCTCAATTTCCTGTTTGTTTTTATATGGCATGAAATCAGTGTGATCCAAAATGCCCCAGCTTTAAGTAGAGAACTGAACCTGTATCACTGTCAGACTCAATTAATGTCTCCAGCTGGCTTTGCTGCTCCATTCGTAATTCAATTCACAAAGAGTTGCTGTTTCAAAAAGTTAAATTAAATGTGACATGAAATAGAATCCGTTATTTGCATGATTTTTCTTTGATGTTAAATTTTCCAGTTGAATTATTTCAGCCAATTTGGATACATTTTTAAACACAATTGAGATATTAGTCAGCGTTCTACAGTACATCTACAAATGATGTACAATTTCTTTGATAGCTATACAATTTGATTTGTTTTAGGAATTGAAATAAATCATGAAGACTAGTAAGAGATGCTCAAGATATATAAAAATAAGTTTTGACAAGCAGCTTTTTTTTGAAAAAAAGATAGATAAAAATATGTACATTTTAATTTAGTTTTAAAAAAACAATTACCTTGTGTAACAACTCACATCCTGAAGGTAATAAATATGAAAAAAGGTATACTACTGCCACCTACTGATAACCTAGTAACTTAACAACTAAGAGTAAGCATCTTTAAATGTTAACAATGCTTACTAAAGTTTGATGTTAAAATGCAGATGAAATTAAGTGGTGAAATTAGTTTCTCCCATAAGCTTAACACATTTAGAGTGGGTCCAAAAAAAAACATTCTAAATATGTTAAGCTTATGTGAAAGATGACCTTCACATTTAGAATGCGTTAAAGCATTCAGTCTGCTTATTAATAGTTGGCATGTTTAGACAGTTATGTCAAACAAACCTGTCATCGGATAAAAATGGACAACACGAGTCAAAAACATTGTGTACGCTGTACAGTCATTTTAAGAGAGAATTTTGGTCCTTACCACTCTGCTGGTGAAAGAAAAAGGTTAGACTTTAAAAGCATATAATTAGTGAAATGTAGCCAACTGTGCAACAAATACCACTCCCACTGCAGGTTAACACACAACACTTTTTATCGCTATCTCCAGTTCTTCGACTTCAGGTCACATTCTGAATTCAGAAGCATACATTTCTTCAGAAGACAGAAAAAAATGCCTCACATTTAGTTGCATAAAGAATATGGTAAAAGTTACCTGATCAATTAACCCCATATACATACCAATAGAGGGCTCGGATGTTATACCCATGCTCTGTAGCAAGGCATCAGCTTCCCTGCGTTTCTTCTCAATGTCCAGTTCTTCATTCTGTACCACTTCTTTTTTCTGATCAGCCTAAGAAGATATTCATACTGATAAATACAATGCTATATTTTATGAAATATGTTAACATCCTAGGTTCTAATTTAAAATAACTAAATGATACAATTGCAAAATTGTACGTTGCAGACTAGGAAAGAACATATAATGAATATAACAATTTCCTGAATATAAAGCATATTATTTTGTGTATTTCTCTGCAAAAGAATAACTGCGGAATAAAGGAGATATGTTCTTAGTTACGATGTCTGTGGAATCTAATTTCTGGACCTTCTGTGGACTGCAAAATTAAACATAGGAAAATACATATATTCTGCTCAATTATGGTTTATCAGTGATTGCAGAAATTACTAGTATTTGCGGAGTTATCATAAACTATTTTCAAATCAACTTCTGTATTTACTAGTTGATCAGAAATCAACTGTTTATCCACACTTTAGAAAGTTGTTCGATATCCCCACCTGGAAATTGTCTCTGGTTATCTTAATCAACCTTTCAAACAGCTTACGTTTTACTCGCAAAAGGCATGTATTAAACCCAATGGAAACATTTATCCTACAGCTATAGATGTACAACCTTCAGCTTAAAGTCTATTAGACAAATTTAATAAGTAGCTTGGAACAGAGATACGTTACTTAACATGGGAAATGACTGAGTCATAAGGAGTCACACAATTCATGGTGACCATGTGAAGAGAATGCGTCTGTGAGAGATGGGCATCGAGTGAAGATGAGCTGCAGTTTGAAGTTTTACTTACTTCTTTTCTCTTTCTCTCCTCTTCTTTCCTCTTCTTTTCCTCTCTGATTTGAGCCAGGCGCTGTTTTTTACGCTCTAGTTCTGCTTTGAGCTCACTCTTGTCTTTGTCTGACATGATTGTAGTCCTGTTGGCAAAAATAACCAGAAAATAGAGAATAGTTTAGCACAATACATTTATATAACATCGTTCACAGTGGGTAGCGCAAATAAGCACATGTCATTGAAGTACAAAATTGAATCTTTTCTTTCTTACTGACACTCTGCCTTCTTCTCTATCATTTCTATGATTCCAGCAGTATAACCCAGTCATTGCATCCCATCATGTTTTACAGCACTTCTCAGTTAACTCTCCTTGACAATGTCCACTCTATCATTGCAGGGAAATGACAAAGTGTAAAACTAAACTTTCCTCATTTAATAGAATAATCTGTACCACAAATCAACATAAATAGTTACACACAAGTATTGTATCCAAGTCTTTTTGGAAACTCAAATTAGTAACTGTAAAAGCACTCCAGATAACGTATTGCTTTATACAGGTTCTTAAACTCACCCCAGCAACCAATTTATCTCACTGGAACATCAAAGGAGCAGACTGCTCATCTGATTAGTGTCTCGAAAGAACAGTAGGTCAAATAATTCTCCCGTGTTTGTGAGTTAGATACAGAGCACAAGAGCACAAAAGATAGAAAGAGAATAGCTCATATCAAGGAAGTCAACTCCACTGGATATCTGAACAAATGGGAGGCTTCTCGGCCGGAATAGTTGGTACCAGCTGAGCACAGAACAATATCAGGCAATGATTTTTCTGAATTCGGCACCTCTTAAATGGCATTCAGTGTTGGAGAGAACCCAAACTGATGATTTTCGCTTCTTTGGAAAAATATAATACAGCTAGGAGTTTTTAAAGTATACCGAGTACTAGTTATTGCAACTAATACGAGAGCAAAGACAGACTAGCATTAAACAGTGGCCATTTTGCTTTTCATATCAAAATGTTACAGAAAACAGCATGTCATTTGCTTAGCACGACTCCTAGCTCTTCACAAACCTACTATAGTGATTATGGAGCAGTTTCAAACCCTCTAAGGAGTATGGCTAATGCACATCTCCATTATTGTGAGATTGACCATAGACAGTGGCATAGATACACAGGGAGTTTTTTTTTAGTAGTTGGGAACCACACAACTAAAAGTAACACACAAGAAATCCGAACACCCATAAACTGGACAATCTGGTTAAGGATTAGATGTTGGAATGGAAATACGATATGGGCAACGTTATATTAAAATACCGTAAACTCCTGATAACTCAACACTGGCTTAATCTGCCACTACAACTTAAATCATCATGCTGTCAATATCCCAGCACATTTATAAACTAATTTATACATATGCCTAACGCTCCACTCCGGATAACTCGCCACTGAGCCCCTTACGCTCGGAGTGATGAGTTGAGGAGTTTACCCTGTATAAAGTTACTTATCTCCCAACAAGTAGGAGTAAATTAATCTGCTCAAAAAATAGGAAACACAGCAAATATTCCAGGGAATGTTCATTTTGAAGCACGCCCTTGCTTCATATTTCCTTTCTTGCGCATTAGCAGTTGTACTAAGTATCAAAGCGATGGCCGGCATTGGCAGCCCTCACACTGAATTCTGTAACCGTCTGGCAATCAAGTCCAGTGCTAAGGCCAATACCATCATACATCTGAAGATACATCTCAGGAAATTCTTTTAACAGTAAAACACCCTCCCTTCCAACAATACTTTCACACAAGATGAATATAGGCCACTTGGATAACCAGGACTTCCCAAGCTATTTTTGGGCATCATAAGACTCCACAATGAGTCGAGAACTGTGAATGACCACTGATAAGAGAAAAATATAAAATAGAGGTATATGTAATATTTAAGATCAAAAACTGTCATTTGCCAAAGTAAGATCATAAACATGAGATGTGTGAACTTTTTCAGGATTCCTTTAAATCATAGCTTTTTAATCGGTGAAAATTTTATTTGCATTGAGCTAAATGCCTAGTCGGAAAACGTAATTAAAAATGTCAAGCGAGAAAAATAAACAGGGGGAAATAGAAACACTTATTGTAATTACAGTATCCGGGCCATGAAATCATGATGGGAGTGGAGTGCCGGTGCCTTAATTTGTAATCAGCAAATAATAAACACATTTTAATGGTAACACTACATTGATTTGCGGCGAGAGGAACACGGCTTTCTATTTCAGTTGCTGATTGAGCTGCTGCAGTTTCCAGGATTTCTGTTTGTGTATCAGATTTCTGTTCGGTTTGAGTTTCAGGAAGGAGAGCTTTCTTTTTTTTTATTCCTACAGCTCGGGGAAGAGTTACATAAAAAGAATGAGCTGGGACGAGATTGGGACAGGTGATAAAATATTGGGCCCATCCTACAGTGATTAGTTGTACTGCATCAGATCTCAGGATACAATAACTGTGTAACGCTCGACAAGTCCAGTGGGACTGGTGTGTGACGTGACGGGAGTCGCCACACGACGACGCCATCCGCTGACACAAATTAACACCAACCACTGGCACGAAAGAGAGCCGTCCCGTGGGTGGGGGGGCAGCCTGAGAGGCATTGCTTTGGAAGAGCCCGGCTCTCCTACGCGACACGGAATTGCACGCGTCCGGCGCATTTCACGTCAGGAGGACGTCCCGAGGCGCTGGACGGTCGGGGATGTGGACCCGATGATTTGGGGGGTTGGGATCGGGTTGCGGGGGGGGTGGGAGGGGTGGTGGGGCAGAAGGGCAGGGGGTAGGGGGTAGGGGGTGGGCGACCTAAGGCGCGGGCGAAGAGGAAGGATCTCCTAAGACGGGCGTTGAAGGAGGCGAGTGGGGGGGGGGGGGGGGGGGGGAGGCGGAGGGACGTGGGGCGAGGCATCCGCTCGCTCTCTCTCTCCCCCCCACTCTCTCTCTCTCCCTCCCCCCACTCTCTCTCTCCCTCCCCCACCTCCTCTCCTCCCCCCCCTCCTCTCTCTCTCCCCCCCACTCTCTCTCTCTCCCCCCCACTCTCTCTCTCTCCCTCCCCCCCACTCTCTCTCTCTCCTCCCCCCCACTCTCTCTCCCTCCCCCCACTCTCTCTCCCTCTTCCCCCCCACTCTCTCTCTCCCTCCCCCCCCCACTCTCTCTCTCCCCCCCACTCTCTCTCTCCCTCCCCCACTCTCTCTCTCCCTCCCCCCCTCTCTCTCCCTCCCCCCCCCTCTCCTCTCCCCCCCCCTCCCTCTCCCTCCCCCCCTCTCCTCCCTCCCCCCTCACTCTCTCTCTCCCCCCCCCACTCTCTCTCTCCCTCCCCCCCCCACTCTCTCTCTCCCTCCCCCCCACTCTCTCTCCCTCCCCCCTCTCTCTCCTCCCCCCCTCACTCCCTCCCCCCCCTCACTCTCCCTCCCCCCCCTCACTCTCCCTCCCCCCCCCTCACCTCCCTCCCCCCCCCTCACTCTCCTCCCCCCCCTCTCCTCCCCCCCACTCTCCCTCCCCCCCCACTCTCCCTCCCCCCCACTCTCCCTCCCCCCCCCACTCTCCCTCCCCCCCACTCTCTCCCTCCCCCCGCACTCTCTCCTCCCCCCCACTCTCTCTCCCTCCCCACTCTCTCTCTCCTCCCCCCCCACTCTCTCTCTCCCTCCCCCCACTCTCTCTCTCCCTCCCCCCACTCTCTCTCTCCCTCCCCCCCTCACTCTCTCTCTCCCCCCCCACTCTCCTCCCCCCCCCACTCTCCCTCCCCCCCACTCTCTCCCTCCCTCCCGCACTCTCTCCCTCCCCCCCACTCTCTCCTCCCCCCCCACTCTCTCTCTCCTCCCCCCCACTCTCTCTCTCCCTCCCCCCCACTCTCTCTCTCCCCTCCCCCCTCTCTCTCTCCCTCCCCCCCCACTCTCTCTCCCTCCCCCCCCATTGATACAGTAAAACTCGCATAAGCCTGATCTGTATAAATTGTATAATCGCCCAAGTCGTACATCTGCCCAATGTCCCATTCAAGAGTTTATATTCTATGCAAGTTTGACATAACTCATACTTTGCATAAATCATATTAAATGTATGATCCCAACCGACATGACTTATCTGAGGTTTATATAAGATTGTAATTATGATTACCATCTATTGCAACAAACAAGGAAGTGTGTACACTGAATAATATAAAGCATAGGGACGAGTCTTCTCCTTTATCTGGTAGTCATGTATACGAAGGACAGAATTTCTGGATAACAATTTGGGATTACAAATTCCGCAGATCCAATCAAACCCAGTTCAACTGCTTTCCTTGGAAGCATTGATTTTTATGACTCAAAGCCTTGTCTACTTTTCTGCCATTTCTATTAGAGCGCTTTAGATATCCTATTATTCCTGGAACATCACAAAGCACTGATACGTGCAGAATCATTTGGAAAAGGAATTTAAAAACGAACGAAATCAAGGAAGGAAAGCAGCAAATATTTTTATTCCCCAAATCTAACTTGCCAGGCTTATTTCAATTGGGTTTTTTTGCGCGAATGGTGAGACGTTCTGTAATTATTTAATAAAATCGTTGCTTCCCTCGCTCGTTCAAATTAACATCGCCTGTGAAGTTGTGTGAAACTTGAGTACAACTCAAGGTGTCACTGATTGATCAGTTACTGTAAAGCTGTTGGTAAAACAATAACCTTGAGAACGCTGAGAAGAAAACTTGGCTATAGTTCTGTTTCTGTACCTGTTTCATTTCGGGGAAGGGAGAATATCGTCAATGATGAAGGAAATCATGTTGATACTTCATTTCATTGACCATCTTCAAAGCACAGAAAGGCACATTGCGCTCTTCACAGTATAGAGCATTTTCAGCAACAGCAATGGCCTGGCATTTATTTACCAGTGTTTATTACCCCCATTGCAGGGAACAACTGGTGCAGTTTATCAGCAAAAGACCATTTGCCATTTTAGTCCTTATTTTTATTGAAGGGCGTTGTGAGCAAATAAATAAGAGCAAATAAATCAACTCCTTTGGGGCAGATACTGTACTTAGGTGCCAAACGCACCAACTTATTATTAAAATTGAGAGGTTTCATATAGCTTGACCAATAAATACCATTACATTGACCTATTGTACTTTGGCAAGTAATTGTGAAAGAGGCTGTTGTGGAAATATTACTTCACTTTAAATATTAATAAATATTTATAAGAAATAGTTTATGAAACAGCTTCGACTGTTTAACAATTTAACAGTAAATTGCATCGATAAGATGTGTCAATATTATTTTTACCTGTGACTAACTTTTTATGTCACCTAAATATATATATGTCCAATATAATATATATATAAGCAGTTCATTTTTTCTCTTTATTTTGTTGCTGCTCAGGAAGTGGATGTCGTGATTCTGATTGAAACTGGCTGAGGGATTTTTTTTAATTGGCATATGGGCTAATCCCTAAGGAAATGAGTCAGAAATATTGCATTAGAGTCGAATTTCTCCTGAATTATCAGGGAACATCATTTTATTGGCTTGATGCGAAAGGATGCTCACAGTAACAGTATCTGACCCCTCCCAAGAATACAATCAAGAGTATTTATACTTCTCTGCACCAACCTCCCACACTATTAAGATCTTCAGGTGCAATTGACAAACGCAGAGGGTGAGAACTTAATATATTTGAGGTATTGAGCACTTCAATGAATGGGTTTACTTTTGCAAATGCACTTAATTTGTGTTCAGAAAAGTGTTGAGCGATTGCAGTTGTCTTCAAGTTGTTATTGTGTGTTTGCATTTCTCTCAGTTTGATTGGAATATGATTGTAAAGTTCTGATCTCTGATTTTAGGCAGAGTTTCACCACCACCACCACCACCAACAACAAAAGATGAGGACGATTGTGTTTGCAGCTGTTTTCTCAGCTCTGTTCCTGGTGGCAGCTTCACAGTGGCAATTTAAATTACCAAACCAGGTGAGCAGTGCATGGGAGAAACATTAAACGAGTTAAAAATTGAACAAGTTAAGAAATAGGATCGAAATAGGATTGGTGTTTCTGATCCAATATTGATTTTGAAACCATATTCTTCGATTTTAAAAATACTAATCTCAAAGGTTAAGGAACCATTGCACAGATATTGCACTTGGTCTAATATAGGAATTATATTATGTTGTATATATTAAGATTTTTTTTAAAAAATGTTGGCATTAATCTGTGTCAGACGACACAGAGATGGGATTCATATTCGACTTTGACACAAGATTCAAATTGAAACACTGCTAATCCTTTATAAGCTATTGGTCTTTAACATCCACGTGTCATTAGCTATTTTATTATTCTACAGGGTGCAAGTGTGCTCCTTTCTATTTGAATCATAAGTCATTCATTGCTGAAATCTGGCTGAATGTCTTGCTAAATCTTGCAGTTGGACAAAACTAAAACATGATTATCCCAATGGTCATTCATCCCAGGAAAGCAGAGACAGTAACATTACATCAGAAAACACTGAACCCTGACTTTTTAAATAGTCTTTGCCTGGTACCTTAAGGAACACAAATTCCAGGAGAGAAATTACAAAGCCAATTATAGCAACTATATCTCTAATATATGTGTGGGACAAGTAAAACCACCTGAGACTAATTCAGTGCAATATATTGTCTTTATAATGTGGCAAAAATGAGTAACGAACAGTGCTTGTATTGTGGTTGCTATGTAATGTTTTGTTAGACTGGTGTTTGAATGTCCCAAATAGGAAGGACTTTACATTGTGGGTGAATTTCTGCTGCTGTGCATTCATTACAGCTCTTAGAGTACCACCAAGTGGCGAAGGAATGACCTTGCACCCATCATCAACCACCAGATTTGTGTAAATTGCTATTTATGTACCATTTACTGTACCATTTTTATACGGCGATAGCAAATACTGTCCTTCGCTTTGCTCTTTTTAACTCTATAACAGCTAAATGTCTGCACCTGTCACGACTCAGGTTAAACCTAGTTATCTGCATAGCCCTCTCCCTTTCTCTCCAGGTTTCAATTAAGTCCATCCAAGCAATTGAGTATTCAACGCAAACCTTAAAAAAAAACTCCGCGCAAGATCATCATTCAGGAATATCGAATAAGCATATTTACGCTATTGCATATTTTATTCCTTTGCTTAAATATTTTAGTTGTTGCAGTCAACGTTTCTTCTGGGTTAGGGGACATTTATAAACACTGAAGGAAGTGACCGGGGGAAGCAAGTGGTCTGAACTTTAAAGCAAATAAATCTGATATCAGCGTGACTTCTGTATGTTATCTGATCTTTTGGCTCAGACCATGTCACACATCATTAGCCACGGTATTTCAACATTTTGAGTTTATACACTCAACTGTTGCCACTTAGAAGTAATGTTTCCCAAACAAATAAGATGATTGTGCTTTAAATGCGTCAATTATATTATTCACTCTATCCAGTCGGTTGATAATTGGTATCAATTAATATTTGCTGAGGTATGTTGCCCGGAATGATCTGCTCACATTATTTAAGTCCATTATTTGCTGTAAATTTCCAGCTGTTTTCTTTTTCCAGGATGCTAGAAGCTTTGGGGAATACCATGCAACGCCAGACAAATTTGGGTGGATGGCAAGACATTCGAGAAACTCCAAATTATGTCAAGATGACCAAGACTGTTTTTTTGGTCTGATGGGGAAGAGAGCAGTACAAATGCCGGCTGCCAGACCTGGTAGGTTTAAAAAAAATTAATTGCCTTTTTTCAAAAGACACCTAACTTCTCTTTTAACATATCTTAAAAGCAAACAATTCCTGCAGTTTTGTGGTAATTATTAATAATAATAATCCTTGCATTTGATGTGGTGTCTTATCATGTCTTCGAGACGTCTCAAAAGTGCTTCGCAGGATATACTGTAAAGTGAATTGACTGTATATTTTGTGGGCAAAAATGAGGGGAAACTATTATTATAGAATATGGGGAAATTGCAGAATAATTGTGATAAATTAGAGTACAATCATATTAGCTTTTGGACTTTTTGACTGTGTTTCTCACAGTGTGGTAACAATTAATGCTTTCAACAACAATGGTTAATCATTCATATACAGTACAGTGCAAGTTATCAAGAGGTTATTACCATGTCCGATGGTTTACATAGGTTTCCAAAGCGTTTCCGCTGACAGCTAAGCACAGTTACATTTGCATTCTTGTAATTAATGTGCAATTCATACTTTAGCTTTTCACTCTGAATTAGTGTGAAAAGCACGGTGTAAATTCTGTCTAAAGCACACGAGAAGCAAATCAATTTGTCTCGCTGCAGTAGAAGTGTAGCCAGAACAAACTGACTTCGACTCCACTCAAAAGCTGTCTCTTCAAAGTTCGCTGGAGCTCGCACTTTAAGCAAACATGTCGCAAGGCTTTTCTGTTCACCGCGAAGGTATCTGGAAGAGAACTTGATACCATTTAAATTTGTTTTTTGGGCTGTAAGAAAGACGCAATAATGTATGTGTATAGAATAACATATATCTCGCTTTGAATTCTAAGAAAGTAGTTGTACTAAGTGTTGCAGGAAAACCTTTTAATCCATGAAAAAGAAGCTCTGGTGGTTTATGAATGTCAGCAAAATCTTGAAGTTGAGTTACTGCCTCAAACACTATTCAAGACATTCCTTATTCTTTGTAAAATATAGTTTACTTTTGAGACACGTGCAATACTATATTAATTCCAGTTTTTTTCCAAGTATACTGTATACAATAGATTATTGTACATTACGTGTGTTTATATTGAAAAGAAGAAACTCAACCAGGCATGAAATTAATTTCAACCTTCAGTTAATTAGTGGTCAGGGAGAATAACATAATGTCGAACAGATGTTGGAGAATGCATTATAAATAAGACAGTAATACAATACAGGGAGTGAGGGGTTCTGAAGAAAGTATCATGAAATGCAAGAGAAAAGTCTTGCGATGCATTTAAAGGCATCTCAGGCTTATTATTATCTAATTCTATCTTAATATTTTTAAATAAAGACCTATTAATCTGTAAATTGTTTGTTGAGTGCTTACGGAGTAAATAATGCATGTTTCATTTTGCTACAACTTGGGGAGTCTTCTGATCTGACAAACCAAGGGAAGGGATCTGAATGTTTGTGGCGTCTCTACTATGATTTGCGTAAATAAAATATGTCAGTGGAAGGGGGTAATTACAGTGGATATCGTTAGCAGTTATGAAAACTTTCTTTGTGAAAGGTACGCACAATTTAATTGCTGTTGACAATTTAATTCGTGATGAAAACAGATTACATGCAAGGATTATTATTATTATATCATGCGACTATTTTGGCACAAAGTAATCTTTTTATTGTTAGCTACAATGTTATTAAGTAATTATCTTGTATAAACGGTGGGTTTCAAAAATTGCTACTTACCCAATTTTTAACCCAATTTTGCACACTGAAATACATGAAATACCATCAAATTCACTACCATGTTTTTGTAGGTTCTGGAGGGTTTCATTCCTCTGTCATAACAATGTTTGTTGTGTAATTAACACAGGCAGACAGATCCCTCCAAAAAACAAAGCAATAATAAATTGGTCATTTTCAATCCGCAGCTGTTTGTGGGACGCTGCTGTGCGCAATTGGCCGCCGCGTTTCGCCCACAAATATACAGTCAATTAACTTTACAGTCTATCCTGTGAAGCACTTTGAGACGTCGAGAAGACGTGAAAAGCGCTATATCAAATGCAAGGATTATTATTATTATTATTATTATTATAACGCAGAGCTTGCAGACCTCTAACAATAGCCACTTTGGACAGTAATCAGGAAGGATGTAATAGAAACCAAGTGCAGACGCACCTATTTTATTGCACTTTCCATACACTTCAAGGATATCCCACAGACTCCACCCATTACTTCACTACCCAGAATGGTTTGGCTCAGATCAGAGACTGAACGAAGTGGGAAAATCAGCCTCTATCCTTGTCTCTGGTTCTGTACATCATTGTGACCTTTGTGAGAGTTCCAAGAGGGCAATGAAACCAGCTTGTTCGAAGACCCTAGCATAACGCTTTGAAGAGATTCTGCCACCATCTGACGTTTTTTAAATTATTTTTCATGCTGAGTAACATCTGAAGTTTATTTGCGCGGATCGGAAAGAGCTTGCAAGTCGCTGTTACTGTTGAGCTCAGACGTTTGTGGAGTGATATCAGTGAAAGCTTCTCACAAATGTTAGGGTATAACAAGTATGTTGTGTTTATTATGGAACCAGCGGAATAATATTAGGAGTCTTGATATTTTGTTCAGATGTAAATTTGCCATTATGTATTTTAACATTTCAACATTTTTATAAACTTAGCATATATATGGATTATATGGAGGTCTCAAAGCACATCTGTTCTATTCATTGCTGATGATTTTCTAAATTTTGGAAGGGTTCTGGTAGCATAAGGAGAGGACTAGATTTATTCTAAGGTAGTATGTTGGCACATCCTGATTTGCATTAATGTTTTGCTTTATTTACAATATGAAGTAACTGTAAAGCACTTTCGCCGATTAAACCAATCAAAACTGGAGATTTACCAGTCAACTTTCACACGTTGCACTTTCTGAAATTTTGATCAGTATCAAATAATTCGGTATCCTTTGCTTTCTTCAATTATTCTTTGATTTGGGTTAATGTGTCTCTGTTAGGCTATAGCCAATTCAATTTCAATCAATGTGTAATTGGTGCATCTCGTGTTCAGCTGGGCACAGTGAGTCAGAAGTTGTGGGTTCAAATCCCATGTTGAGACTTGAACTCATGTAGCCTAACCTTACATGTTGTATTGTCAGAGATGCCATCCTTTGGGCGAGATATTAAATCGAGATTCAATCTGCCTATTCAGTGGGATGTTAAAGATCCCGTGGCACTATTTGAAAAGACAAGCAAGGTTCCCTGGTGTCCGGACGAACAATTCCCCCCAAATAAAAGGTCATTTGTTTCAAAGCTGTGCACACCTGCGTTGCCGCATTCACCTCGAATTACACGGTCACTCTGTGTTACAGTCATTTCTGTTAGGTGCTTTACGTGCAAATGCAAGGAGTGTTATTACTATGATTAGCTATTAAAAGATGTGCTGCACGTTTTATTACTTTTCTGTATTTCCTAATGCACATTTCTAATTATTGCTCCCGTGTGTTATTTAGTCATTTAATTCAGACAAACACATTGTATTCCCCCAAAACTTGTCTGAGAGGTTTTGGACATGATGTAACATTTTTCAAGCAATATGGCTTTTGGAAACCAGTGAATAAGTGAATACACATTTATTTCACACCAGAGGGCTCCACTAATCTACAAAAGCAAGTGGAGGAGCAGGGAAGGCATTAATGATTTGGCTGGAGAAACCTTTTTGAACAGATGTTTACTTCATTTCATAGATGACTTACACGCAACTTGTTCTTGTTTGTTCTTAGGTTTGAACATATTGCAAATTTTAAGAGAACTACAGAACCGTAACTTGAACCCAGATTACGCGGAGTAACGTGAGGCTGTCGATCCTGGATGACCGCATCTGCGAAAGATGTAAACTACATTACAATGTTGATTTTATACGATGTAGTATTAGATTTGTATTTGCAATGAGCAAAATACATTGTACATAGCAGACTTCATCTGTCACACTCAAACCATGTATGGCTGATCTAATGAAATCTGTTTCTTATTTACTTATCCCCAGGATGTCATTTAAAACAATTATTAAAAAAACTCTGAATAATCTCATTATGCGATTTCAAATTACAATAGATTTACAACCATAGTTGCTTAAAATATTCTGTTCTTATAATACCAACCTGTTTTTGCAATATCAATAAAAAGGGCCTATAACTTCTGCAACAAAACTTTGGCTATTGATTATTTCAGAGGATTTGAATGTGGTGATATTTCTTCCATAGTATTCATGGATCAGTTAATGGAGTAATTTGGAAACAAATTTGTTCCCTTCAAGATACTCCATATCACTCGCTTTATTTTACTTTCATTTCGCCCACAAAATACACAGTCAATTCACTTTACAATAAAGTGCGTTATATAATTGCAAGTTGTTGTTGTTTGTTGCATTTGGTGACTTCAAACAATGTATATCCAGACAGCAACATTGTTCTACACTGTCACTAAAAACTAAGATTGAGATTGACAAACAAGGATTTATTTGGGTTACGTTCAATGAGAATGGGAGTCTTCGTTTCGTTTCAATTCATATGTTGTTTCGGAGAAAACAGATGGAGAAAATTGATTGACTAATGAGGTCATGAAGTTGCAAATAGAAACTTGGCTCTTGTGAAGTCAGTTGTTCAGACAAAATAACAGTTAATTCTGGCTAATACATACTAACATTTGTAGGCTGAGGATATTCTGATCTTTCCAACAATTAACTTGATTTTCTAGAAAGTGAGAGCAGATGGTGACGAGATCATTAAAACTGGCGAAGTTTCACTCCCCACTGAGTATACAAGAAAAAAAGAGTTTCACTCTAAGTCATCACATGTGTTTATGTTGTTTTTTTTTACTAACTTCCTGTTAAATATTGAACGCAACAAACAATAAAAGAAAGAAATACCAGAGGTCGGAAATATCTTCAGCTATTATACAGTTCTACAATGATCATAGAAACCTAGGAACAGGAGTAGGCCATTCAGCCCCTCGAGCCTGTTTCTGCCGTTCTATTAGATCATGGCTGATCTGTACCACAACTCCAATTACCCACCTTTGCCCCATATCCCTTGATACCTTTACCTAATAAAAATCTATCCACTTCAGTCTTGAAAATTTGACTGGATCCAGCATAGACAGTCTTTTGGGAGAAAGCATTCCAGATTTCCACTGCCCTTTGCATTTTTTTTGGTTTTGTTTTGAGTTTCGGTCTGTATTCTGCCAATTGAGCTATTGAGGTCGCAGTCTAGGCTGACACTGGTGGAGATGTTGTCCTGCAGAAGAGATATTAAACTGAATTCCTGTCCGCCTGTTCAGGTGGATGTTAAAGATCCCATGGCATTTTACGAAAAGACAAGGGAGTTTCTCCTGGTGTCCTGACCAACAATCCCCCAAATAAAATTGCTCATTGTTGTGTGAAGATTGGATTGCTGCATTCACCTGCAAATAGACAGTTACTACACTCTACAATAAATCATGTAAAGCACTTTGAGGTATCTCCACAACATGGTAAGGCGCTATATTAAATGCAAGGATTATTACAGTATATTAGTATCTTTGGGTATGATATATTTAAGTGTTACACTTCTGCAGTATTGAACAGTGGCCTAGAAACTGCATGGAGCTGAAAAGCAATGTTGAAATATATGTTTGTCTTCAATCGATAGTTTCATCAGTTCTCAGCCAGACTGCGAGGTGGGACACTGTGTAACAATACAGCGTTATCATGACAGGGCAGAACAGAATCTCATCCGTAGAAATAGACCTCTTACTGACTGATATGTGCAACAGTATTGATACCATATTTAGCGAAGATGGATAAACGAGGCTACAGTGCACAGGGCAGCGGCAGGGAGAAATAAGAGGAGTGAAAAAGGGAAAGATGTGAGACGTGGATCATAATTTAATGTAATCCTACGACATTCATGAATTTCGTCGCAAGCTACCTATCCTGATGACAAGGCAATAACCCTTGCATTTGATATAGCGCCTTATATCTCTGTGGAGTCCTGTAGCTCAGTGGTTAGAGCACTCGCTTTGCAAGTGAGAGACCTGAGTTCAATCCCAGGCAGAGGGCGAAACCTTGGGCAAGTTTCCTTACTCCACACAGAGCCTAATAATAATCCCTCCAAAACCAAAACAATAATAAATTGGTCACTTCAATCTACGACTGTTTGTGGGACATTGCTGTGCGCAATTTACTGCCACGTTCGCCCACAAATATACAGTCAATTCACTTTACAGTGTGTTCTGTGAAGCGCTTTGGGACGTCCTCCCGACGTGAAAAGCGCTATATCAAATGCAAGGATTATTATTATTATTATTATCACATCCGAAGGACGTCGCAAAGCGCTTCACAGGATTTACTGTGAAATGGAGTGACTGTCTCTTTGTAGGCAAACACAGCAATATCCCACAAACAGCCATGAAACAAATGACCAATTTTATTTGGGGGAATTGTTGGTTCAGGAAACCAGAAGGACCTCCTTTCTCTTTTCAAATTGTGCCATGGGATCTTTAACGTCCTGTAGTATGCTTTGCACCTGATGCGAAATTCACCCCTCCCTTCCTCAGCTTGCGGTGCTGGTAAAATATAAGGTGTCAATCCCTTCAAAAGGATTAAAACTGGAAGCAAAACTCCCCTGAAAAATAGCATTAAGGTTAAAGAATTTATAAGCTATCATATAATTGGAACCAGAATGTGTACCATATATCACTCATCCCATATATCAAACGATAGCCCCAGAGAAAATGTACCTTCATTGAGTAATGGCGTTATGGCAATTCTTTGCCAAATAAAACATGGCACAAAGATCATAAAATCACACAAAATTCTCCTGCCTCGTCTCACGAGAACTTTCTTTCTACATCATCCCATTATCTGTTCTGCGCTAACAATGAATGTGTTGATTGTGTGTTGCTACAGGTTTCGGCTTGTCCAAGTTTCTTCAGAGCAGGCAGCTGCCCCCAAACCTGCTGTGAAGTGATTACATTCAAGGAGAACTGTCAGGAGAATAAAGGTGAAAAGTTGAACGAACGTGATTTTGTTACAAGCATAATATATAAAGGGTGTTCTTGAAAACTTTGTACATATAAGAAAATGCCTTTGCATATGTGCTTTTGGTTATCCTCAGTGCTACCATCTCACATCAATAAATCAGTTATACGCAAAGAGTCAAAATCCAGTGAGCAAAGTACAAACAGAATTGAGTCTGACCTTCTCCGTTAGGTGTTGTTTTACTGTACGTGCTTACATTATACTAGTATAATTAGTATTATATGTGGCTGCTTGAGAACCCATAGCAAATGCAAAGCAAGATCTGATAGCAAGGATCAACCACAATAACAAACATTTATTTACATACCATAAATTCTGTGAAGCTCTTTGATAGGTCTCGAAGATGTGATAAAGCACTATATCAAATGCAAGGATTATTATTAGTGATAGCGGTAATGGCACAAGTCATCTTGTGTGAATCATGTCCTGTACCATATTTAAATTTCGACTGAGTAATTTGTCTGTTCTGCAAGTGGATTTTAATAGAAGACCATAGCATAATACAGTGCATATATGTTTAAATACTTACATTTCAATGGCAATTATTATAAGTATTAATCCATCTTTGTTAAAATAGGGTTGAGTTCTCCTTTAAGACAAGTTTCATCAGTGAAAGAGATTTTGAGATGAATTTTGATCATGGATGATTTGTATGCTACATTCATTCTCTGTATTGTTGGGGTTCCACTCAGAAACCTTCTTCAATTGTTGAAAGATTATTCCACCCAACCAAGCAATCTGAATGCTTTTTTATATTTTGTGACATGTGTTTATCTTTATAGATGTGGCATTTCCATAGTACCAGTAATTAGCAAAAACCAAGGCAGGAAAATTTGCGGAGTTAACAAACTTAATGACCCCTTAGCAACACATTGTACAAGAATTGAGTTGCAAACTGTTTTTTATTAGCCCAGAAATAAAATGGCAATCATTAGTGCTACAGCTTTTAGTTGATTTGTTTTGGCAAATAATTTCTAATCTTCAAAAGCAATACTGTCCAGTTTTATGTTGAGGATCATTTTAACATAAAACCTGTGGGGTTTGCTGCTCACTGCATAGGAACATAGGAACGCAGGAACAGAAGGAAGCCATTCAGCTCCTCGCGCCTGTTCTGCCATTCTATAAGATCATGGTTGATCTGTACCTCAATTCTAATTAGATTCAATTACAAGCAGAAGCTAACATAGCTAGTGGTTCAAACACAGTATTGACAGTGTTTTGCCTGTGGGTCTATATTTTTTGGACACAGCTGTATAGGCAATCTTATCTACATATTTTGTAATGCAATTTTCTTATTATTATTCCTACTTATTAACATTTCAAAAGGTTGGCCATATTTATACACATAATTTATTCCTCCAGGAGTTCAAAAAGCCACTGTGGCTTTGCCAGCGTTCAGCACATTTGGGGACATGAAAAGGAAGTCTCAGTTTAGCCTTAAGACGGAATTTTGTGAAGTCTCTCATCTGCCATCAGGTAGGCCATAACAAGTACTGTATACAAAATAAGTGAATGATTGATTCCAGTATGTCCATGTGTAGGGATTCAAAATCTACAAGCCCAATGCTATAATGAACGGTTCACCCTGCTCGCACAAGGTAGGCTCACCTATTGCTTGGTGAAATGCTGAAATGGAAACAGCTCACTCTCATCATTAGCAGTGAAGATGCCATTTTTTTCAAATACAGCATATCATTTCCCAGGTTAATTTATCCCCACTTCTTAAAGCAAATTTTAAGGTGGGTTCCACAGCCCTTACAGGAGAGAGAGAGAGAGAGAGAGAGAGAGAGAGGTGAAAGTCGTCTGACCAACATAATGGGTAAGATTAAATAAAGCACATTCAACATCGATAAGAGTTCGCTGGAAGCAGCTTATGTTGGGATAACATAATTAAGACAACCTTATCTTTGCATGGTTAAGTGGACTTTCGAAACAAGGACATCTGCACTTACTGTTAACATCAATTGAGATCGAGTAACTCAGATAACAGATTTTAAAGATTAAAAGCAAATATTTGAAATTGTCTGCATGAGCCTAATTATTTACAACCAGGAAAAACGTGTTTGGAAATAATATATTGCACCGCAATATACTGTATCGATTGTTTTGCAGAATCAGTC